TCTCTCTCTCTCTCTCTCTCTCTCTCTAAACCTCACACACGCTCTCTCTTAAACCTGTCATCTGCTACCATTTTTTTTTTCTTTTTCTTCTTCTTCTTCTTTCTCTATATTTATATTAAAAAAAAAAAGCGAAAACCCGTGTTTCGACAGAAACCGAGTAAACGACGTCGTTGCGCTGCTGCGAGATTTTTCCTTTTTCCTTTTTTCTTTTTTCTTTTTTCTTTTTTTCTTTTTCTTTTTTTGCTGTTTCAGACTTTGACGATCTTCGCGGCTCTGATCACCGGATTCTCCCTGGCGATGGCTTCTCTTCCGGCGGCTTTGTAGTCGTAGCTGCAGTCGTGGCGGTCGGAGTACCGATGCTCGGCGCAGAAAAGCTCGCCGCACCGGCACCGGAATCCGGTGAGTCCGACCTTCCTCCGGCAGCCGGAGCAGCGGTTGACCACGCGCTTCGCCTCGGACGGCGTCGTTTGCTCGGAGCACGGCGGATCCGCGGCCGTCGCGGCCTCGTCTGGGAAGGATCTCTTCTGCGGGCGCGCGGACGCCCCGGATCTGGCTCCGGCGGCGGCGGAGGTGGCGGAGGTGGCGGAGGTGGAGGCTGTGAAGGCGGCGAAGCAGTTCTGGCACATGTTGTTGGTGGCTGGGTTTCCCGTTACGCCGCAGTTGTTAACGCAGAGCGTGATGGTTTCGGGGACCTTGAAGTCGGTTTCTTCTTTCTCGGTTTTGTGAGCCATGGGAAGGGAGGAACGGTAAGGGGCTGTTTGGGAGAGAATAAGAGAAAACGGTGTTTGGTTGGTGCGTTTCGCGAGAGAGGGCCAAGAGCGTTGAGAGAGAGGAGAGGGGGATTTGAAGGTGTTGTTGTGAGGTCGGTAATGCCAATGGAAAAATAAAAATAAAAATAATAAAATAATAAAGAAGAAGAATATGGGCCTCATAGAGACGCGTATCAAACATTTCTTTCTTTTTATTTTTTTATTATTATGGCGGCCGAAATTACCAAATTGTCCAAGTGGGTCGTTCCTTTGCCTTGCAATTTGCCTCTGCTGCCCCCTTTCTTGTCTCACAGGTTTCTGACGTGTTCGTGTCAGTGCATCATCCAAAATCCAAATCATATGTCTCTCTCTTTTTGCTTTTTATTTATTATTTTATTTTTATTATTATTATTATTATTATTACTATGCTTATGGTTGTTGTTGTTGTTGCTGCCCCTAATAGTTTTGTTAGGTTCGGTGGGTTGGAATTACGCCTCTCTTTTATTACCCTGTAAATTCTAAGCTTCTTGTTTTCCTTTAAGATCAAATAATTCTCTCTCTCGTTAAGGATATAAATGAAGAGAAAAAATAATTCATATATTATTATGTTTAAAAGTTAGTGTGATATTAATTTTGGGAATAATTAATTGAGTTAATCTATGTTTGTGATTTTGTGGACTGATTTAATGTATTATGGCTAGGGAGAAACTAATCCAACGAGAGGAGAAAAGTAGGACTATTTGAAACATTTGAAAAGAAAAGTAAACTGCTAAAATTAGCACACACGAAAAAAAGTGAAACTATTTGAATCATTTAAAAGAAAAGGCAAGCTTCTAAATTTGTCCTTAAAAGTTATACACATCATAATTTTGTATTTTAAATTTTTTTTCATTGAGTTAGTTTTTCTAAGTAGTATTCAGAGATTTTTGTTGTTGGGTTGACCTCTTTATGATTTTATTTAACACAAATATTTTTCTTTAAAGTATGTAACTGGAGGGTGTATCCTACAATGAGTTATCGCATGAATAATGTGGTTATATATCTAATATATAATGATTTACATCGAATATATATGCCCACATATTCAGTATAATTTAAAGCTTGTATAGTTACTCTTTTCACAAAACGTGGTCGTACACCATTTTTTTTTAATTTATTTATTTTAGTCATAGAATTTAATTGGAACAAATACAAATATCCCAAAATTTGTACCATGCTTGCTATAAACTCGCCTGTCTCGCGATTTAGAGCCCAAAATGCATAGTAAGCTTCAACTAAAGGGTGGATGCAAATTTATATTAAGACACTCTTTAATGAATACTACTAATATATGTAAGGATAATTTTTTTGTGGTAGGGGGGTTAGTGAGTTAATGAATTTTTCAAAAAATATTTCCGGGTAGAATTTTGTGATGACATATTTTATTAAACAAATAAAGGTTTTGATAAAGAAATAAAGAAATTAATTAAGGAGCATGTGGGGGTGTAGGAATTTGGTGAAGGGAACAATGAACCTGAGAAACAAAAAATGTACGTAGCTGATGACTTCACATGGAAGTGATCCTATGTTACTGTGTCCGAAAGAAGAGGTTGGGTGCTGGTTGGCAATCACGTAGGCACAAGTTGAACATTACTGCTTTATATGATATCACAGCTTGCTAACAAAGCCCAATGCACTCTCAAGTGGTTTAGTTTTTTTTATTTTTTAGAAATATAACTCTTAAAGTGATATTTTCAATCATAACTCTATGTGTTAGTTAAAAATTAAGCTCTAATCTTTTGTTAAAAAATACAAGATTAAACTATTTCACCAATCCTATGTTTAAGATAAGAATTTAACCTTAATTCTTAATTAAAAAATACATGTTTGTAACAACTTTACCTTACCACTTTTGATACTCTCAGTGGTTTAGTTTAGTTCTGCTTTACATTAACCAGCAATGTGCCCTTTTGCGCGCAAAATCGGGATCCAGATCAACTTGCGTACCCTGATTCAACTAATCAGTCATTTATTATGATTACTGTTTTATGTGTGTGCAGATCCTTTTTCATTTTTCTTATATAGCTATCTGTATATATAGATCCTAGTTCTCTTCATAAGTACTAAAAAAGGTTAAATTAACAATTTCAATAATCCTCGTGTTTATTTTACATTTAATTATCATGTAAAAAAATACTTTTGATTTAGTCCACGTATATAAACGTTTGCAAATAACTTTTGTTGCGATTGTCGAAGTTATTCCATACAAAGATGGAGCCAAACAATTTCGTAGAAGATGAATGATGCAATTAAGAGAAGAGAAATGATTTATTGTTGAGACTCCATACATGAAAGGACCAAAATAGTATATTAAGTAAGATTTACAAGTTAGTTTTATAGACAAATCTTATATGGAATAAAAAAATTTACAACAAAAATTGAAATATGATGAATGATGGAATAAAAAATATATAAATTAAAGTATGATAAATGATGGAATTAATGAAAAAAGATAAATACAAACAATGATGTCGTATAAATTATTACATTTTTACATTAAGTTTCCACAACTCTAACGTGTCGTTTACTTATGTCACAACTTAGTAAACTATACAATATTTTTCCATGATTTATAGAGAATGACCTGTCTCTAACATGTATTTGGATACTAATAATGTTAAATTAAATATTTTAATATAACTCACTTTTATCGGATTAATTTTTATAAAAGTAAATTGATACTTTCATTTATAACTTTATATTCAAATCGAAGAGTATGAGTAACGAATAACTTGTGATAACAACATTTTATTTATTTTTACAAATATTTAATTCTTTTAGTCTTTCATCATTAGTATATTGTCTTAATTTTCTTTAAAAAAATTATTGATTATGACGGGCCAAAATAAGGTTTTCAAAAAAATTTCTATATAAGATAAATTTAGATTCTCATTAAGACATTGATTTATCATACCTATTATTTTTTGAATATAAAAAATTCATAATTAAAGTAGTTTCTGAAAAATAATTAATACAAGAGATAGTTTATATTTATTTTTATAAAAAGGACTAAATCAAGCTTTAATTTGTTTCTTACAAACAAATTTAAAAAGAGTGTATTATATTATTTTAATTTCTAACACTAACCCTTTAATTTACACCACATGAATGAATTGGTGTTAAATGTACTCTAAAGAGCGTGTTATTCATTGTCACTATGAATTCAACATCATTGTACAGATCATTCCTTTACTTAAAGTATCATCGTCGTTGGCTTATATGGCTTTCTATTTGTCAAAACTTTTTTTTTTTTTTAACATAGCCCTACGTCAAGTAAAATAACACTAATTTATATCTGCATTAATTGTTGTTTGTTATTGCCTAGCTTGAAGAGGTAATAACACTCCTCCAACATAGCCATTTAATTAATTTGTTTGTTTATGATATAGCATGAGCTTTTGGATTGAAAGTTAATTGTGCCAGTATTTAATGTTCTCAACTGGTTTACCATTTATGCTTGGTTAGCTGAAATTTCGTGGATGCAAATTAATGTTTGATTGTTAACCTTCGATATAATGTAAATCATGTTTATTGAGGAAAAAAAAAAATGTTTTGTCATCCTTAAAAAAAGAGAAAAAAAAAATTGGTTTGGCGTTTCCAATATATGTGCTTTGCTACAATGAAACAAGTAACAACAATGCAAATTGAGTTCTATCATGATTATTTGTGTTTGTTTTTCATTCAATTTCAAATGAACTTTAATCCAACATTTATCTTTCTTTTACGTTTTTGGTTTGGAAAGTGAAAAAAGTTATTATTTAACGTTGTTTAAACGGAAAGACATTTTTATAAGTACATATTATTAGGACTTCAGAATAACAAAATAATATTTTCGTCTCAGATTATTTTTCTTTAAGTTTTGTAAATTTGGACTACAAAATATGAAAGATGATTGATGTTCACCCCTATTTTGGAGTGGATAAGTAAATTGGATGAGGCCGGAGAGATAGAACGAAAGAAATTTTTTTTTAAAAAAATAATAAATGTGACATGTAATATGAAATGATACAAAATATTAAAAAAAATGGATAAAAAAATGAAAATGAAAATGAATTATAAAGAGTGAGATGTGTATGATAAAAATTATTCCAAACTGTCATCTCGTATATCAAGTTCCATGAATATTAATTGAGTTTTTACCAAAATCTTATAAGTGTTTCGATGGTTGGATGACATCTTCGTCACTCCAATGTTTGAAGTCAGGTGGGAATACCTAAAAAGACACTTAGATGCTTAAGCTAAAGGGTAGTTCAAGTTAAGAATTAGGTTAGGGTAGAATGATACATGATGTCCCATAATTGTATATTGATCTCGCAATTTAAGGATATAGTCATGCGTGGTAATTATGAGGTATCTAGGTGATTTTGTATATAATTTTATTGTGAGAAGATATTGTTTATTTGTTGCTCTTTAATGTGTTCCGGTATTTTGGACATGTGGCATTAAAGTTGTTCCACTTTTTATTTCATGATGATGGGCGAGGGGCCAACGTGGTTAAGTTGGAAGGGGTCAGCTTAACTTGGTCAAGGTAAGTGGCACATAAGCCCCTTGAGCTCTAAGTCTGTTAAAGCAATGAAATTAAAAGGGAGGTCTTCCCTGGTTCTTTATTCATTGATGGCAAGATAAGCAAGTGGAAGTTGTCATGTTTTGTTCAAGTTGATGGGTACATGTGGTACAGGGCGCATCTGAGTTGGTCGGAGTAGTTCGATATGTTGTGTCCTAGCTAGGTGGTACATAAGCCCCCCAGTTTCCAGCCTCGCAGGAGGGAAGGAACTTATTTTGCCATGTGTGGAGGTTGTGGCATATAAGAGATGATTATGAAACTATTACCGTAGCTTTTAATGAGTAATCATTATAGCCATCGTGGACAAATCTAGGTTGTTTATTGGGTTTAATCTTTTGAATTATGTGTTTTTAGTTTGAAAAAGGACGTTTTTAGTGATTTCCATTTGAGAAGGAGTTGAAGGGGCCTTTGTTGCTTTCTTTTGTCTTTTTGAGTTGTTCATTCTTGTGTGGTGGGTAACCTTTTCAATTTTAATCTCCCAAGTACTTCTCTTCCTTTTACTTGCCTTTTTTTAGATTCGTGATATTTAATGTGTTTCT